GAAGTAAGGTTATTGAGGTTAATGACAAATTGTCTTTTGGTATTGCGTCAAAAACGGTATGCTCAAATGTAGTGTCATAAAACCAATATTGTTTATCACTTTTATTAATGACGTTAGAGAATAGTTAATGACTCTGCTAACGTAGACTGATTTTCAGACAATGCTAAGGTTTGTAGACACATACTATGTTTGGAAGATGTCGGTGAATTACAAAATGCGCTTGATGCCTTAAAGAAGCTAGTAGATAAATGACAATTAAAGTTGAATGCAGGTAAATGTATTATACTTGCACTGCATGAAAAACCAACTGCATACGCAGCCCGATGGCATTTCATACGATGCCTGATGTTTAGGAAAAGAGACGATGGACATAACTTAAACATCAGCATGATAAATCCGTTAAGTGATCAGTATTAATATTTTTTGAGTTATTTATTTTAACAATTGTGCGTTTAGAGCTTTATAAACTAATTGATTGATTTGTAATAATATAATTTTTTAATCTTTTTTATTGACTTTTAATTAAGTTAGCAACTTTTAATTCTATTTCAAATGAGTAAACCATCACGACCTTGGCCATATCCACCACTAAATATTCCCATTCCGTTAAGGAAAATAAAAGATTGAAATGGATTAATTACATGTTGTCAGCCCAGATTCCTGATCAAGAGTCCAATCTGCGCTTTTTACTCGGACTTGTAGGTTGATAAACCGCATGATTTTTGCAAGCATAGCAAATAAAAGTAATTAAAAATGAAAAGAATGAAATTTCACAAGTTTTATCATTTTATAAATAACAAATCAGAATTGCGAAATAAAACTCTTCTAACATATTTTGGACCTTTTATTAGTCATGCAGAGCGAAAAATGGACACAGGAAACCGTAATATGTTAGCCAGTAGTTTCTGGATTCACAAATAGTTTTTTCAATATATTATGCATACATATATTGCTGAGCTAAGCACAATATTAAAATTTTAAAACTTAGCGTAAAAGCGGCTGCACAATGATATTGCGTATTAAATGATTGTACTTTATTTGGTCCGATTTCTTCACAAATTTTGACAAGTACAAACACTTAATTGCTGTTAATATCTGTATACATCAACGGAATGTTTAGCCATAACAACAATAATTTATTTTAAGAATGTAAAAGGTAGATATGAATTTAGGAGTTTGTTGCAATTTATTGAATTCAAATAAATGTATCTTCAGTATGCAGCACTCAACAAATCAGGCACAATACGAAAAGCTAATTTCATTATTAACAACAGGTTGAGCAGTTCAATCATTTCAAAATAAATAAATTCAAACAAAATAAATAAATAATATTTAATATAATCTTTTTCTGGATGTCTGCTGGGTTTTATTGAACAATATATAACCGATCATTAAACAAACAATGATCCCAACAGCAGCAAGAACAAAGACACCAACAAGTTTCCAACCAGTCAATCGAGATAAAGTTGATAGTTTCGGGTCATCCACGTGATCTGAAACAGGAAAAATCATTACACCGAATTTTAATTCTTATACTCCATCATCATTTTCGATAATTCTTACATTCAAAAACATCAAAAAAAGAAGTTTTATACAAATGTAACCTCTAGGAGGGGCGAAATATTCAGCATTGGGTACGACATTGCTGTAATCAGCATCATCTTCAGTCTATAAAAATATTACCAACAAGTTTTCCTAACTATACAACGAGTAACAAACATTACGTAATCATATTGAAGCATCATAAAATCTGTGATCATTATGAATTATAACCATTAAATTATAACATTAAAAACCACTACCTTTCCCTCAGAAATATCAAACACCTTGATTGACATAATCTCATGGTTATCTAGGATAATGTAAAAATATGTGTATATATACTTATTTAAAAAAATTTTTAAAACAATTACGTATAAATAACTTGTACTAGAAATAAATTTAGATCCACACTAGGCACTTTTTTCAATGAATGATGTTTTAAAACATTTCAGCTGTGAATAATTTTTTATTCATAACAAACACTTGACAATAAAATCATTACAATGCTATGACCAAAACTCAACTTATTTCCAGATGCTATGTCTATCATAAATGTTATTTTCAACTGACAAAAATTAATTGAAATGAAATAAAATAAAATGATTCTCAATAATCAGTTTACACTATATTTAATCAATGTTATAACAATCATCTTGTTTAACAGGAAAAGAATACTAATAAATTAGTAGTAGGATGAACCTGACAGATCACCAGTAGCAGCAGTGGCTCCAAAGAAGTATTCAGTAGGTAGATGTACATTGCTTGTTGTGAAGCACAACTTCCATTCGTTGCGACCACTTATATCCAATGAAACCTATCAGAATGTTTAATATTTGAGATTTGATTGAAAAGCGCTTTTAATATTACTACTACAAGCAGAACTCAACATATTTCCAGATATAACAAGAGTATAAATATTTTAGTAGATAAATTCTATATTTACAGACATTAAGCAATGCACAGTTTTGAAGCTAACAAATTTTGGACAAAAGATAAAATTTTTTTTTTACTTTGACACACACCAGAGTTTGAAATATAATGAATTTAAAATAAATCTTCAAAGATTATAAATCAAATTTTATTCAAGAGATTAAAGTTACAAACTGTCAATTTGTTCTTCTCATATCTGATGGCTGCAAATGTTTCAAATCTTGATTTTCTGAAGTTTGATTCACAGCCACTGAGTTCGGTGTGTGTGCCATCTCTATCATGATCGTACGAGAGCGTGCCATTGTTTATCATTGCCGATACGTAAGGGTGTCCATGCTGACAGTTTACAATTCAAACATGAAAATAAACAATGTGTGTTTTCAGTAAAAATGTATAGAAATTTACATTATGAGCTCCGTTTTGATTTGCATAAGTGTCAAAAAAAATTGCCAAACCGGTAAATTTATCACGATTTCCAAATACTGGACCTGCAATAATTTGATCAAATAACAATAAGTTAATGATGAAAAAGTGAATTGCAACACCATTCATTACCCATTTCCATTTTTTCCTTGGTATACCATATAGCAAATCCATCCCCAAACAGCTCTGAGCCTTTACCATCTACTTTAAAATGAACATGCATTTCCCAATTGCGCAGTCTACATGGCTAAAATGGGCATGTCAGTAAAGTTAAAAAAACTATAAGTGACTGAATCTAAATGATGTTACTCACAATGTTGTTCCATATGGCTCCTCGTTGACCTTGGTAATCAGATGTTAATCTGACAGCTGTGCTTGATATGATTGTACTACCTGTAAAGTCCCATCTGTCATCTGCATTTAAAGAATACAGAACATTTCATTTTAATAGATCAGTTGTGTTTTATGTAAAGATGATGACTTCTGCTTACGATCTTCCCCTCTGCTGAATTTTACAATAGATTATTTGATAACAAATTAAACCAATATTTATTTTTTCAAATTTATTACTTGAAGTAATTTTGAATGGAATACTAAACTAATACTTTTATTTAAAACGCACTTTGGGTTTTAAATTTTTAAAATAAAGTAAAAATCACATCCTGTTAAAAATTAATGTTTCCAACATAATTTATACTAAAATATACTACACTGTTCCTGTTGCCTACCTATCTACAAGCACATAGACCACACCAACCTTATTTATCTACATACAAAACCCACAGTGCAGTCACACATACATTCTAATAATTTTATTTTGACATTTCTTGATCTATTAGATTGGTCTCTATTCCTATTATATTAAGTATTAATTCTCATTTTTGCTTATGAAAAAATAGATAAAATTGTATTAATTAAAATTAAATTATTAATAATATTTTTAAAATTAAATAATACTTATATTTTTTAAACACTTTACTTTTCTTAGTTTATTTTTCACTATGATATGACACTTTACATTTTTACTTTGTTTTTTAAAAAGAATACTTCAATATTCCAACAGAAAATAACAGAAGGAAGTATTTTAAACCACTAAATGTGGATATGACCGACCCACAGAAGACTGAATGTTGAATGAATGAAAAGAAAATTAAATCTTTAATTTTTTACTTACAACTTTATTTTTTCAAGTTACAGAGCACAAACAATTATTAAAAATTAATATTTACCGTTGTACGGCTTGATAAGGGAATGCTCTCGCACCTGGTACGAATTATCACATCGCATATACTTAAAAAGTAATATTAACAGCAAACTAGTACACGCTGACGACTCAGGTATAGAGGCCATGACGTTTTAACATTTAAGTTTTGTTTTAAAAGAGTAGCTGGCGTTTTTTGAAGGGTGGTGATGAAAGTAAGTAACGGAAAAGTAACGAAAAAAATACTCAAGATACTCGATCATCTGGGCACAACCACAAGATATCAATTTGAACACCGAAGATGGTATATGAATACCAAAAAAAGCTTTTCTGTTCTATCATGCATAAAAAAAATTTGGTTTTGAAATAAAGAAACTTGAAAATGATTTATGATCAGCCATTAGAAAAATCGAAAAGTTAAATTGGAAGTTATCTAACGCCGAACATGCTGTGATTTTCATCAATAATTATATATATATATATATATATATATATATATATATATATATATATATATATATATATATCACACATTAGTAACATTAAAACAACCCCATAACAGCCACACAACAATAACTGCTACACACATATATATATTATACTGCATTTTTTATTTTACATTGTAAACGATCCCCAACTAGATTCCAGCAAGATCAATTATAATGATGCATGACCTCATTGCTTCACCTGTTGCCAGTACAGCGTATAATAAGAAAAATAAGACAGATCAATTTCAGTTTAAAAATCTTTGGTTGTGATGGGTTGTAGAATTGGCAAAAAAAAAAAACAAAACAGAAAAGCGGAGAAAAAGAAAGAGAGGGAGAGAAGGAAAAGAGATATACTGCTTACTGCTATCTTAACCTTTTACATAGTAGTTGGCTGGACCTTTTTTGTGAACAGGAGTAATGATGGCAATCTTCTATATGGCGGGTGAAAATCTATTCTTAAGCTTGAAGTACACATTTTGAGGAGAATACCACCTGAACCATTTGAATGTGAATTTTTCAAACTTTAGAGTGCAAGATATACTGCATGTGGAGTGAAGCCAATGTTTTCAATAGATTTAGTAGTACGGGATAGAAAAATTTTTTTCCATCGTCATTTGTAAGTACTGATGCAAAATAGTTGTTACATGTGTTTGCCATTGTTACGGGTTCATACGATATATTGTTATTAGCAGTTTATAAACAGGTTATAGAAAGCTTTAGAAAACAATTTGTTGTTGATATATCAATGAAAACTTTTGACATTAACATTTGATAACAAACTTTTCTCGCTAATTTTGCGATAAAAATTAACTAGATTAGAACATTTTTTTGCTGCCATCAAATAGTAATCGTTATCATCTTAATTCAAACTTTATCGCCGTTTTTTGCTAAAAATAGTGTCTGACGTTATACATTGACAAAGTGATTTAGGTACTGAACGTTTGAGCGGCGGACTTCCCCTGTCAAATTAGAGGAATATTAATAGTAGCAATAATAGTAATAATAGTAATAGAACAATATATATATTTCATTAAATACTATGCACCATTTTGTGTTTAAGACCTTTTTAAATTACGTTATTGCTTAGATTCTTCTTTATTAAATTTTTCTTAACTCGTGTTAAACACTATATTGCTAAATTTGCTTTTGCTTTTTCTGGTCCTTTTTTTCTGAAACTCTCTACCTACTTTTCTGACTACTTCTTTTTACTCCTCACACTTACTACTCACTTACAAAGTTCAGAGCGGATCTCAAAACCCATCTGTTTGCGAAATTCAATTCATTGAAGAGCGCTGTTGAAAATCGCGGAAATAACGCTTTACCAGCTAATTGATTGATTGATTGACTGACTGACTGATTGACTGACTGATTGATTAATTGATTGATTGATTGATTCATAATTTTGGTTGACATTTTAATAAAAAACAATTAATTTAATTAAAACAAGCTTATCTGAAAACCTCACTGTGTGTGTGTATGTGTGTGAGTGAGTGATTGAATGAGTGTGTTTGTGTGTGTATGTATGTACGTACACATTTGGAGAGGTTTTAAAAATCCAAATGTTGGCACGTATGGTATAAGCATCATTGGATTATAAATTATAAATTATTAATTTCATGATAAGCCTATATATATATATATATATATATATATAATTATATATAAAAAATAGTATAAAATAGTTATATAGAAGAGAGCAAAGAGAGCATTCTTTGTATATGCTTTGGTTTAGAATCAAAATCAATTACTTATAACCATATATGTCGAATCAAATACTTATAATTTGTTGAAATTAATTGAGTGCCCAGCTTGCTCGTTTAGTTGCATCCGAAATAAGATAAGATCGGAAGCTCCATAGATAAATAACAATGTATCTGCCTCTTCTTCATCTCGGTTGGGTGTTCGTTTGAAACTGACAGCCGATGAAATATTTATTAATTATTAATCTACTAACTAACATCAGACATGATGTCCTTCAGTACACATTTTTGGGTGGGTACTTAGGATTTTATCGTCTTTTCTAGATCTGCATTTGCAATATGACAGAATATTCCTGTGCTTGTTAAATTGTTAATCTGTTTGTTATGTTAATCAATGATCGCGTTTATAAATTTATTTCTCATTAATTTTTGAATGTTAAATTTAAGTTAATATCAAGTATAAAATTAAAAGGGTTTAAGGTTGAAATGATTTTTTTTACTGAATAATTTCAGGGTGAAAAAAACAATGGATTTGACATACTCTATCAAAATATGAAAGCTGGCTGGGTGTCCAGTAGAGAACTTGAGGAATATATCAGAGAAAGGTTAATAATTAAATTAATTAAGTAGAAATGTTTAAATATTATATTTTTGAATAAAAAATAGTAATTTAAATATGGTTGAGCACATCATCATACATGCATGATAAATAACGTATAAAAATAAATGAATTAGTTATAAAATTTATTATTTAGTTGATAATTTTAATTTATTAAACTAAATTTGTTGAATTATTAAATTTTAAGCTCTACAGAGGGTTTTTAATTTAAAAACTCTTTTTCAGTTTAGTTAGTTGGTTTGAAGTTTGAATACAATAAATAAATACATTAATAATTTCTCTTTTAGAGAGGTTTTTATCACCAAAATATTATTTTGAAAACTTTTTATATAAAAAATGAACCGGTATTATAAATAATATAAAAAAATGTTTATAAAAATGTTTTTATTAGTTTTGCTATTTGGGATAAATTTGATTTTGGTCACACTCATAACATTTGTTTTCATTTTAATCTTTTTATCATCAATGGCTTTTTGTTTCTTTAAATAAAAAATTATTTTTAATACCATGTAGACATATGATTGAACATTTATCTAATTTTTGATTATTGGTTAATTATCACATAATGATATATGTTATTTTTTGTTTAAGGGCTTAATAACATTAAAAATGAAGGGCTCATTTTTTTACTAATGTTTGATAAAAAAATTAATAGAATCAGATCATTGTGTCTTTTAAATGTTCATTAAAATTAGATGATAAATTAGGTTAATAAATGATTTTCATTTGTTTATATTTTCATCTTTTTATATTTTAATCAAAAATGTTTTCTGCATAACATGTCTTCAGGATCAATTGATTCTGATGTTAAGAGTGTAGAACTATTTACTATATTGATTGTTAATGTGAATGTTCATATTTTGTGTATTCTTCTGTTAAGTATCACATAACAAATTAAGTTCTATTAAATTAATGCAATCTGATACTCATATATTAAGAAATGTTTAGATAGCAGTTACCATCCACACTTGCATGGTATATACATTTTGAATTTTTTTTTCATTTCAGTTGCACAGTTGAGGAGTCTTATGTTAAGCTTCAAATGAAATTAGCAAAAATGGCTTCAAATTATGGAAACAGAGGGTTAGTTACGTTGAAATATTTTTTTATTTTATGAATTAAGTAATAAAAATGTAACTAGCTAAATAAATTAAATAAATATGAATTGTATATCTAAATTTTTCAAAATGTCAGTTCATTTGGACCGTTCTGGCAAGTTCTGAGAGTTTTAGCAGAGGAACTGTCGTCAATCCATGTCCAGCTGATGCTTTCATGGCAGGAACTCATTAAAGATGTCCACAAATATACACTTGAACAACAGAAGAAACAAAAAGAGGTTACTCTTCTTTTTTTATATTTATTTTTTATTTGAAAGTCTATTTCTTCATTAATTAAAAAAAATTAATTTCTTTAAATATCAAAATAATTTTGCTAGATTTTTAGTTGTGTTTTAGCTGTATTAAATAAATATGTCAATATATATTTTTTATATATATTTAATAAATTAGTAATTAAATAAAGAAATTTATTTATTTATTTATATATTTATATAGATGTTTGTTTTTTCATCCATTAACTTATTCATTCATTTATAAGGCAACCCTTCTGGCTGATCATGATATCTGAGAAATTAAAAACATTTTTTTTACACTAATCTCCAAATTAAATCTTTTAGATTTTAATGGAGATTTTTATTTTCTGTAGTTTTATAAGGATTATTTTTTTCTTGTTTAAATTCCAGATTTGTTCAATTGAAGTAAAAATTTATATATATTTATATAAAAGTTTCATTGTTAGACTTTATTGTTTCTTCTCACGCTTTTTTGTTTTACCTTATTCCTTATATGAGTTCATGCAAGAAATTTTCAGGGAATTAATTCTCAATTAGCACAACTTGTGGTTGTCATTTTAAGAGCTCAATGCTCTGAATTGTGTTGCATTTTAAATGGGGTTTTGATTTATATAAAGTTTCGTAAGTAGCAATGTTGTCTGTGTATATGTGTATGAATTGAGAAAAATAAAAATATTTGTTCAATCAAACCAAGATGAAGTAAGTTGAAGATGTATGTCAATATTGAGTTGCTTATCCTAATAGCACTTGGGTATTTTTTCTTATATATAGCATGTTTTTTGGTTTTTGCAAGTTTCCGTATGTTGTTTTGTATGTTTATCGTGGTGATAATGATCGAAGACATCTACATTATATATTGCCATTAATTAATGAAATAATAACAACACTAATATTTGTTTTTATAGCCATTCATCAACAATCCATCAATTCAAAGATTCTTCAGCTTTTAATCTTCCAATCTAACTTTTCTGTGAAAGTTTAACTGTTTTTGTATGCTTATTTTTACTATGGTTCTTAAATGAAATTTTGATTTGTTTATCAAAAAGTTGAAAGACCAAGAAGTGAGCACAGTTGAATCAGTCCAGTTGCTGCAACAAACCATCCAAGTACTTCATAAGGTTACTGACACTTCATTAATTTGTACTTGGAATGTCATTCCTTTGTATATTTGATACTTTTTGTCGTGTCCTGTTGTTGTTTGTCACATGGATCTCTATATTGCTACTGTCTTCTGTCTATAACTGCATGTCATTGTAATGTGTGCAAAGAAGGTATGTATCTTGTAGTTTATATGTATTTACTTGAATGGAAATTTATTAGTTGGTGTGGCTTGGGAATTAGTTCACGTCTATTCTATTTCTTGCATTCAGGCACAGACAGCATAAGTGTTACAATGTTCATGCTTTATCTTTTTTCCTATCAAAAAAGTGACATCCATTTACATCCGAACATATACTGTGAAATGTAATGAAAATAAAAAGTCCCATCCTGTTGCATTTGCTGCATTATGCATGTCATTTTTCATAATTTATTTGTTGATGATAATTTCTTAAATTTCATTAAGATTAAACTTCACCATTCATTCAGTTCTCTAATGCTTCAATTATAAATTGTATTCCTGTTTGACTCAGTGCTATTCATAATTTGATTAGCAATAATTGGTCTGGCGTAACATGTTTCTGAAATGTTCCAGTCATGCTTCATCATTTCAAATAATACATTTGTATTACTTTTGAAAATGAGAAAAAAATACAATAGTATAAGCTTGCTTACTGACATGGGACTAACCTGAAAATGCGTAAAATTAATGGGTAGGTGAATAAATGAATGAATGATTTGTGTTCATGTGTTTTTGGCTAGGCAAAAGAAGCATATCATGCACGTTTTTATGAATGTGAGAAGTTGAGGAGAGAGAGTGCATCACAGAGAGAAATGGAGAAAGTTGAGGCCAAGCTGAAGAGAGCAAGTTGGTTTGTTTGTTGTTTGTGCACTGTTTGATTATTTGTTTGTTTGTTCAATTTAGGTTTGTTTGTTGTTTGTTAAATTTAGGTTTGTTTGTTGTTATTTATGCTTTGCTGGTTTGTTGTTTGTTTGTGGTTTGATGTTTAGTTGTTTGTATGTTTTCTTGTGTTACATTGTGTTTGTGAGCCGCACGTTGGCTGTTGGTTGATGTTTGGTATTTTTTGTATGCTTAGATGTTGTGTTCTTGTGTGTGTGTGTGTGTGTGTGTGTGTGTGTGTGTGTGTGTGTGTGTGTGTGTGTGTGTGTGTGTGTGTCGTCCATCGTTTGTACATTAGAACTCAATGATTGATTGAGAGTTGCTGATGAATGAATGCAGATGAGGAATACCGATCATTACTAGAGAAATACTCGAATGCTCGAAAGGACTACCTCCTGCATATGACCGCATCTTGCAAGGTTTCATTCTTTATTTCTATTTATTTTCTCTTTCTTTTCTTGCTCTCTCTCTCTCTCTCTTTCCCTCAATTTCAATCTCTCTGTCTTTCTGTATTTTTGTTACATTTATAACAAACTGAATATTTCTTTATCATGGTGATTGTTGACAGAGGTTCCAAGACATTGAGGAGAAGCATCTGCAACAGATGAAGGAGTTTATAGATTCATTTAGGAAAGCCAGAGACACTCACTGTTCAATGTTGGCACAGGTGGGTTGGTTGTTTTTGTTTTTATGGCTAGTTAGTTGGTTGGTTGGTTTTTCGTTATTGTTTGGTTAATTGCAGTAGCATTGGAGGTGATGTTTTTAAGATGATTCTCATGCACAGGTCCAAGATCAGTTTCGAGTGGGTTGTTGCAAGTTGTCGGTTGAAAGACTCATCGAGATGATCATCCAATCAAAAGGCACTGGTACTGAACAACCTGGTTTGTTCCTGTTGATTCTTTGCCTGGCCACGTGGATTTTTTTTGGTTTACTCATTCGATTTGTCTTACCCATCTACTTGTTTATTGTTTATTCGTTTATTCTCTTCCGCCTGTTTAAAATTCATCAGTTTATTTGTTTCTATATTTATTTTTAATTTGTTTATCTAAGCAACAACTTATTTTCAAATTAGTCCCTCCTTGACAATTTAAATACAGGAACGAGTTGAAAAAAACAAATGAAAATATTAATATCTCTAAATAATATTAAGCAAAACAAATGGTAGAACTGTACTCGAAATGAAATGGAAATTTGAATGTTGTGAAAAAAAAGAGAGTACCGCTGGAAAAAATAAAATTAAACCAAATGAACAGCTTAACTTTTAATAGTTGGTACCCAACGGAACCAGATGCAACAAAAACAGAATGCTAGGCTATACAATGTAGATCAATTAATGAAAAATAATTAGTAATATTTTTCTGAGTGCAGATATAATATACTATTAATAAATAAATAAAATAAATATTGAATGAATAAATATTGAATAAATATAATATGCTATTAATAAATAAATAAAATAAATATTGAATGAAATAGTCAGATCATAAATATCTTGCATCATTGTACTACATTTCTCAAATTTCAACTCCACTGTTAATTATGGATGTGCATTCAATCAATCATACATACAATATACAGTAATAAGTTTCTACACGTACAAACCACTAATTCGGTGGACGTGACAGGCCACATAGAGTTCGTGGAGGCAGACATATCCACACTAACATCCTCCCTATCCGTGATGGACCTGGATAAGAAAGAGCCCCAGAACAATGACGCTAGGATCAGGAACCAACTCGGAGGTGGGCCACTTGAATTGATCCTTCTGACGCTGTACGATGTTCAGTTTAACGTTCATTCACTTTTCAATGTATGCTGGTACTTTCAAGATTAACATTTGAAAAAATTGTTCTAATCTTTGTCCGTGGTTGGTTGTTTTAAATTCTATTTAATATTACTTTCATCCTGTCGGCTTGTCTATCATTTATCAGTTGATGATGGCTGTTTTGTTTTAGCTGTAGAATAAATTAGCTCTCTGAGGTTTTAATTACAGTTGCGTTTCTGTTGTAACAATAATTTGAACACTTATTTTGTAATTATCAAAACTATTCTCTTGTTTGTTGGCGTGCACCTTTCTCATAGTGTTCTCATTGTCTCAATGATCATCATTGTGCTAATAAGTCGACCATTCTTGTGCTAATCCCTATCAATCCAATTATCATCATTATCATTGGTGGTCGTTGGCCTTCTTCATCGCTTTCATCATCACTGTGATAACTATCATCATTATCATCATCATCATCATCATCATTATTATTATTATTATTACCTCCATCATCATTATCATCTCCATTTCAGTGATCATCATCACCATTGTCATCAATCTGTCACCCTTATCATCATCATCATCATCATCAAATCATCACTTTATTATCATCACTCTGTTAATAACAATCATCATTGTTCTCATCATCATCGTCGTCGCCAGGCATATTAGGCATTCCAATCATGTACAGGAACCACAGGAAGAAGAACAAGGAGCATGCTGATAAGGATAAGGAGTTTGTTCCCTTTTTTTCCTGCTTTTGTGTCTTTAGATGCTTCGTTATGATGTGCTCTTGTTGTTGTTTCTTTGCTGTTGTGATGTTTCTTCCATATTATTTTTTATCTACTTGTAATCTGGAACTGTGAGGATTATGCAGCGCAGTTCATAATTTGACTGTATGATGTTAACATCACATGATGAGAGAGATCTTTCTCAATATGTTAGGAGTATGTTATATGTAACACACTATAACTATATGTATGTTGTTTGCCTTTATATTCCTCTTGACATGTTATCCATCTCAAAACTATTACCAGTTACATTTCTACTAGTATATGTTTTAATGATATTGTCATCGTCTTTATGGCCTTGTTTTTATTTTTTTTCTGTTTCCATATTAAATGACCTTTTGTTTTATTTTTACATAAACAATGTAATTTTTATTTTCTCACAACCAGCAAGTCAGACGCTCTATCAAAGGTTTGTTATTTAAATATTCTCTCTCTCTCTCTCTCTCTCTCTCTCTCTCTCTCTATATATATATATATATATATATATATGTGTGTGTGTGTGTGTGTGTGTGTGTGTGTGTGTGTGTGTGTGTGTGTGTGTGTGTGTGTATGTATGTGTATATATATATATATATGTTTACTTATATATACACAATATATGTATATATTCAACCTGTATATGTACTTTATTTATGCATTTTAGCTCTCACAAACATCGTCACAGATATGTGTAAAAATGTAGTATTTTGTTGGTTATTTGCATGCTATTGAATGGATTTGACTAATTAGATAATGGATCTAATGCCAGACAGAATGTAAGAGGTGTTTATTTATCTTATTATTCAATCTGGAGGTACATGAACATGCATGCACATGCATGTTCATGTACCTCCAGATTGAATGCATGTGCATACATGTGCATACAGTTGCTTCATGTTAGATTGTTTATATTAAGCGTCAGCCGCCTTTGCTGCTGTTCCTCTTTATTCAACTTTAATATTACTTTTCTTCACTCACTAATTAATATGATTGCTATTTGCTATTTACATCTATGTGATCGAGTAATTGTATTAATTATGTTAATTACAATTATTAATTATAATGTAGTTGCGTTGAGATTGAATTAATTATGATAATAGAACACTCACCTGGTGGACGAGGAGGGCTACTCCATAAGGCCGGAGATCGTCCACCACAGTAAGTTGGAGTCACTTTTTGATATGATGGTGATGATAATGATGATGATGAGAGTGATGGTGGTGGTGGTGATGATGGGGGTAATGATGGTCACTAGTGGGAGTAGAGTTTGGTTAAATCACTTAGTCAGATGATGATGGATGGAGAATATTGTGCAGATAATGATGATTCTGAAATGCTTTAAAATGACGTCTACTCCATGAGTTGGTTAAACTGCTGTGATGACAAACTCAATGCCAATGTGACTAATGATAATTTTCTTTCTCACATGCAGATAGCAGGGAGAGTTATGGCTCAAGCTCTGATAACGATTCCGGTTAGTTACTCATCTGTCATGGTTCTATCATCATTTCCATTGTTAAATTTTCCGTCATTTAGAAAATTTCTAATTAGTTTATAAAATCCGATCATGCTGAAAAGTCATGTAATTTCCGCTCCTAAACAAGCAGTGTCTCAGCTAGTGTCTTCTTTCTAGCTACCTACAATCATTAAAATAGTTCCTGTAATTGTAACTGCACTGGATTTAGTAATTCTCATTGACTTCAATTATGATACATTTTAGAAACAAGTTTAACTTGTATGTGTAATGTATGGGGCATTGTTGGTCATTAAAATTGTGAATGCACGGTTGGAACGACTCTGACACGCACATAATGGAATAAATAAATAAATAAATATGTGTTTGTATGTGTGTAAGTTTATGTGAGAGTTTGTGAGTGTTATGTGTGAGTGTGTTTAGTGTATATGCTTGTATGTATTTATGTTTGTTAATATATATCCCACATCACATTAACACACACTCACTCACATGAAACAAATATAGATAACGAAGGTCGAATGAGCAAGTTGAAGGTTGAGATCAAACCCCTGTCATCACCCACGAACTCTGACAACACAGCCAACCTGAAGGACATTGTACAAACGTTCAAAATCCAAGATATTCCAAGTGTAAGTTCCTTCTCCTATTTTTTGTTGTTGATGTTGATGTATTTGTTGGTTTTGTCGTTGTTGTTGATAATGATGTTGTCGTTGATGATGATGTTACTATGGTTTGTTTACAATTACAAAATATTTTTTCATGTTTTGTTTATATTATCGTCCGTCGATTAAAAAATGAATGTGATTGGTTGTTGGCTATTGCGTCATCGTTGTATTATAACATGAAATGTTGCTGCCGGGATGGGTTGCTGGTGGTGGCTGCGATGAGTGCATCATAAAGTGGGGACAGACGACATTTAAAATAATGATCATTTTGTCGTTGTTGTTGATGTTGTTGAGTTGTTGGTGAAGATGGCGATGATGTTGTTGTTGTTGTTGATAATAATGATGATTAAAATGATAATGCTGGTGATGATGATAATTTTGATGGTGATAATGATGATGATAATACTGATGATGATGATTACATAGAGACGAACACCGATCAGCGATACAAGTAGGGCAGGCAGTCAGAGTTTAGACAGGTAGGCGTTTTAGAACTGTTGGAATTTAGTTCAGTTTTTTAATGCTTTATAAGTTTCCAAAAATAAAAATTTCGTATGAAATTTTTTAAGTTCATAAATTGATTGAGTAATCTTTTAAATCACATGATGAGTTAATATGATGAATCTATGATGAATTAATTTGAATGAATTACAATAAAACTTTTGTTAGTAAAAATTTTTTTTTTTAAATATTTAAAAGAATTAAATGCCGACATAAACTAACAAAACATCCAGCTCCATGCCGTCGAGACCAAGTGATGATCTGATCGACCTCGATATCTTTTCATCGCCTTCCAATACCACCAGCACATCAGCAACAGGTACAGCAGTAAAAAAGACAGACGCCACGACAGACAACAACACGACCACCACCACAACAATCAGCACAACCACCACCACAACAAGCCACTCGCCCTTAGCGCGAAATGGGCGAAGCAGTATTCCAATAAATGAACCAACAACTACAAATGAAAATGTCGCATCATCCAGCGGTTCTATAGTTAGTAACAACAACGATGTAACCACTAGTTGTGGTGGTAATAGTAGTAGTGGTGGTGTGGCTGTCGTTCACAAGCAAGTTTCTTTGTCGTCACTCAATAAGTCTGGTTTGTCATTAATTATGCTCATTTTTTCACTTTAATTATTTTCATAATTATAAATACCAACCTTATATTTAGGGTGATATTATATTTACACTACATGACCACTCTCTTCATGCATTAAGTAAGAATTAAGCTTTCATTGCGCTGGTTTGTAAACATTCTCACCACTACTGCTACTACTGCACGTATGCAGATGGAATGTAGGCGGGAAGGAATGCCACGAACATTGAATCAAAATTCAAATTAAATACTTCGAGTTTAGATAAAAACTACTGCAATAAAAATGCGAGATGAAGGGCGAAGAGAAAATCAAACAGAGTGAAAGTTAAAAAAACTGGTAGGGAGGATTATGTAACCAGGGTTTGTCGGCATATTATCTTTGCGTAGGAGTTAAACATTATGCAAACATTTATTAACTGATTTTAAAATGTTGAAAATTTCACTCGGATGTGGAGAAAAAAATAACTTTTTGCCATCAGGTCCATTGCCATCCACAAGACCATCGTCGTCACTCTCGTCCTCATTTTCACTGACGTCAACGACAGTCGACCCGGGTTCGCCCACGTCTCCTTCCTCGCGTCTGCCCATCCTACCGACACCTCCCCCGCCTGCACATCAACGCACACACAACAGATCACTGCATTCGAATGTGCCTTTGGGGGTCAGTTCTACTATTTGTTTTTTTTTTTTTTTTTTTTTTTTTTTGATTAAACTTATATTTCTTTGAAAATTTAATTAAAATTTTCTGTGGGAGTTTATGAGATTAACAGTTTAATTTTGAGTCACTTTTTAACCATAACTTTCGTTTTGTGTTTAAAGTTTTAAATGCTTACGCACACATTCAAAATTTTACATTTGTTTCGCATGTAATTAGGCTACCGCAAGGCCGGCTGGTAGGAATACACCTGACGTCTTCAGACTGCTATCATCCGATCGAACGGATAGTCTCATGAGTCTCACCAACATATTCCCCACACAGTCGACCCCTTCCACTTCGTCCAACCCACCGCTAACTTCCTTCACGCCAACACACAACTTTGCATCGAGAGGACCGAGTCCTCTTACTCTTGCAATGTCCGACAACGTTCCCATCGCTGCTGCTGTCACAGAGACGACCAACGCTTACTTCAAAGGCGCTAATTACGACAAGTTGGCTGGAGAATTGTTTTTTTGTTTAGTATTTTCAATCTTGATCAGAATTTTTTTCATGGCAAAATCAATCAATGGTTCTGTTCTATTCAGTTTTTATATTATTGAGAATAGTGATGTTATGGACAAGAATTATTTATTATCCGATGAATGCAAATCTGTAGATGTCAGGTGCGTGTAACTGGCAGCATAGTCATCTCGTTTCCCGGCGGCATCATGAGAGTCTTCCTCGACAACCCATCACCAAATGTCCTCTCCTTCTCCTTGAAGAACGTTGAAAAGATTGACAACATCATAATGAACAAAACACTTTTAAATGAGTCAGTCTTATTTTCTATTTATAATTTAATAAGACACGAACGTGTTACCGGTTAAATAAGAGATATGCACTTCATCAAATGGTACATTGTACTGCAATGTGCTGTACCATATAAATTAATTATTAATATAAATAATATATATATATATATATATATATATATATATATATATATATATATATATATATATATCATTTTTAATATAATAATTCTTATATGTAAAAGTAGATTTTTATTCAAATTAAGTTTAATGATTGTTGGTTAATTTGATTTTAAACATTTTATGTCATAATTACGTTTGTAGAAACGAGCAACAGAGATCTGATAACTGTCGAAGCTACACATTCAACATGTCGGCCCTTGTAGACCACCTCAGAAAATTATCTTCCATCACTTCCAACGCTCCATATTTCAACGTTGAAATCATCAAATATCAAGTACCTTCCTTTTGCAGAATTTTTTCTTACTCTTGTTTCATTTTATTTGGCTATCCGTTACATAAATTATTTTTATGCGTTTTCAACATTAAGCTTATTGCTTATTTCCTAGTTGAAGATTGTCAATCCGGCCGTAGAGAACATTCCATTAAAGTTGGCATCGTACTGGAAAGTTGAACCAAATCAATGTGACTTCCTGTTAGAATACTCGTACGTTGGCGGCTGCATGAGGCCTCCCTGCCTACCTCTCACCAGTGTTCAGCTGGCTCTCCAGTTGGATACAGGGGACAAGGACATTGAGATGCACTCCATTCCAAGCGGACTTTGGTTAGCCATCATTCACTTCGTAGTCTTCAATTCCGGTTTTTTATTATTTATTAGGCTATGCTTATTGTTGTTAGCGATTTATTTAAAATATTGGTTTTTGTTGCTTATTTTAAGACAAAAATGAACTAAACTTGTTGCATACTATAGATGAAATTTATTTATCTGAAATAAATATCTACACGAATCACTTGTTTCAAGTAACGTTTATAGCTTTTTAATAATTTTCATTTGACAGGTCCAGCGAATCAAAACGTGCAATTTGGAGATTGCAGGATATTTCAGAAATGTCAGAAAACGGTTGTCGTGGGAACATCAAAGCCAAATTTAACGTTACCTCTACCGCCTCTCCTCACTTAAACATGGCTGCTGTGCAGTTTCTTTGTGAAGGAGCCACACTGTCAGGGCTTGAATTTGAACTGGCTTCAACTGGCTATCGATTATCACTTGCGAAAAAAAGATTTTGTACAGGCTAGTTTATTTCTTTTGCTTTTGTTTTTAAACATTCTATAGTTACACAAAAATTTTTGTTGAAACGTTTTTCACAATTATTCATTTGCAGCATTGAAATATTTTGTCCTCACTCATCTGATAAAAAACTCTTTTTCGACATACGATGTCTGAAATAGTGCTAATATTTTATTTGCTAAATAATTAAAGAAACAACTGTTGAAACTCGGAAAGTTAATTAATGCTTTATGACGCCATATGATTTAACTTTTAATTTTTTTCAATAGATTTTGATTTTATTTCAAACAAGAACAATTACATTTTTTCAGGTAAATACTTATCAGAAATCGAAACGATCAATCAACCTACAAATGCGTCATAGTTTATTTTCATTTCATTAAATTTATTTATCCTTATCTTTTTATTCATCATTTTCATCGTCAAGTGAATTTGTCATAATTAAATGCTAATATTAATTTTTATTAATACTCATTTGCTTCTCTTGATGTTCATAGTTTGCGATTATTTAATTTTTGAATTGTTAGGAAAGTAATTTAAAATTTTGCATCATTGTTAGATGCATTATTAAACTTTATCGCACACAAAGACAAACTGATCACAGAAAATCTAGAATTGAGCGTTTCGGAAAGTAATACACAGTAATCCCATTTTAATTTTATAAAATCGCTTCTTATCAGAAACATATTAGCAATTAACCATCATAATAATTTAATTCTTTGCTATTTTCGTTGTTTTTGTGATTGGTTTATATTTTAAGAGTAGTCAATTGATGAAAATGATAGCTGTTGTAAATATTTGAGCTCCAATTATGTATAGTTGTTGGTACGCTATTACATAATAATGATAATAAATTAACATTTATTTATTTATTTAGTCCTCCTTAACTGCATGCTGATTCATTTGTAAATTGGTGAATGCTAATCAAATAAACATTTTATTGTTCCACTGTGTGACTCCTTAGTGGAACGTCAAACGGTATCTGCTGATGACACAGGGTATGTAAGCTAAGGCAGATAAGCGCGTTGCCATGTGTTAGGCTCCCAATAATGTTTAAAAATTTAATTTTAAGTTCATCATTTTGCATCTCTTCCGTTTTCCGTCTAATAAATATAAACATAATCAATGTTGTTGCTGAATTACTGCATTATGTATATTCTAGATTTATTCTTATTCAAACTGTAAGGGATAGTTCTGTTAAGATCCAAGAATGGGTTAGTTTTGAATGTCCAATTTTTAATCTGTAACCAAATCACAAATGGCAAAAGACTACACCATGGAGCCAATTATAGAAAACGTGTAAAGAAATCAAGTTTCTACGTGGCTGCAATTGAGTCACAAATATTTATAAATGTTTTTCATAGTAATAATAATATTACACTTAAAAACTGTATTAAATTACTTGACGGGAATTTCGATCTGGAACTTGTTTTGTAGGCGTTTGCTTCAGACATTGCATTTTAACAGTTACGAATACCGCTATCTGGAGATTTTTTGTTTCAATCCTGTTTTCATCCACATTAATATCTTTACGTAAATGGCATATATAATAAAAATTATAGAATTAATATATGTGATGAAATTTTATTCTACATCATATATGGTGATGGGTAATTCGCAATATCTGTATAAAATTCTGTGATCATAATTCACCTCGAATCATACTTAAAATTTAAATTCTGTCGCAAGGTCGTAAATAATTGGTATCTAAACCGAAATAAATAATTAAATTAATCAACAAGTTAGAAAAACCGAAATATTTGTTGATGAATATAGTATTTGACACATATTTAAGTTTTTGAGTTACTTTATATTCTAAAATATCACAATTACTAACTGACGCATCACTAATACTTCGTTGAAAATAAATAAACATCTACTGTCGTTTGCTATTTTCAGTCCCATAGAATGAAATAAAGCCGAATCTGTGTTCGCTGGACTTGGAATTAATTCTGTACGAAGGTTTTTTGATAAATTCTGATATGTCTTATTTTTTAGTACTTTACTTATGTATTGATTTTATTTTTGGAAGAATTGAAATGTAGCGTGGTTACACTAGCATGTTAGTTGGCCAGCGATAAGCCATATTCTTACACTTATATGATAAGCCATGATAAGGTTATGACTTTATTTGCAATTTTACATTTACAATATTTCGGTAAAACCGGAGATGGATACTCCTATACCATACTATACCATAGAAGTATCCATCTCCGGTTTTACCCAATATTTCTACTAAAAAGTAAAATTTTGGTTTATTGTAAAAAAAAAGTAAGTATGGCATGAGATTATGAATGTTGAAATAATTTAATTTAACTTGAAAGTCCTGTGATGGACTAAACTTGGGTTGGCATGTTAGCTATTTTTAACAGAAGGGAGCACTCCGTTATCCTGTAAGGCTAGCTAGAACTAGCTAGATTTGTCATCATATTTATCATTTATGCATATAAAATTTCAACTCTTTTTCAACCTTTTGTGATAGTTGATTATCCACTTTGGCTCTAACTAAGCTATATCTATTAATTAATCTTCGTTTAGCATTCAGAGACCCAGTTCCCCCAAGGTAGGACGTTGTTTTCTTTGCCATCAATTTTTTGTGCCAAATTAGGCGATCAGTTGTATCCATTTCATTTAAATTTAGAGCTTTTATGTCTTGTTCAATTGTTTGCGACCAGGACTTCTTTGGACGGCCTTTGGGACATGTGCCATGTACTTCAACATCTGCAAGAGAAGTTATGGCACTGTTTCCACTTCGTTTGACATGACCAAACTACCGCAGACGGTGTTGCCGGCATTCGTCCTTTATATCATCTAAACTAGAACGACGCAGGATTACGGTAGATTTGATGTGGTTCTTCAGACTAATTCGTTGCATCCATCGGATCATTTTCATATCGGTTCGGTGAAGTTGTTGTTTCAGTTTGGTTGTCATTGGCCATGTTTCTGCACCATATAACAACACCGGACATATCACATATTTATAAAGTCTTGATCGTAGTGGTAGTGGGATGTCACGCCGCATCAATATAGAGATAAGGAGATGCCATTTATTCCAGGCTGAACGTATGCGTTCTTGAATGGCAGCTTCAGTCGTTCCAGTACAATCCAGAACATCTCCTAGATATTGAAACGATGTGACTTTCTCTACCTTAATGGCTTCAAAAACATTGCTATTTCGAATTTGTTGTTGTGGATTGATGCAAGCGGGACAAACAAAATTGGACACTTTAGATAAATTACCAATTATTTTTGAACGATGTTTGTGACACCACTGGTTACACTGCTCTAAGCCATATAAATGGTTAAATTCAAAGTGTTAATTATATGTATATATATTTATATGTAGTATTGGGCAGCATTGTTGTAGTGATGGGTTTGATTTTTTTTATTTTTTTGGTTTCCGTTTTTCTGTATTGTTTCATTTGCTTGTTCAAAAATTTGTATATATTCAGAATCGTTCATGCTTGAATATTAAAGTATCATTGAAAGGCAAATTGTGATATGTTTGTATAGTAAAATTTTCCAAGTTCTTAGGGGAGTAAAATCTTCCAAGTTTTGGGGGGACTAGGCTTGTTTATTGTATACAAAATTCATTTGTCCAACAGATGAACTGATCATTTGACTTACAATGTGGTTATTTGAGAAAGGCAATTATGAGCAGGACTGTTTGATATGGTTGTGCTTGATTATGAAATGATTGAATTTAATGGAAAACTCTCATCTCTCTACTGTTTTAAAGTCTGATATTTTCAATGGCCCAACAACTATTTGTTTTATAACATTGAAAAAAAAGCTTTGAAGTTCTTAGTTGTGTTTGTCTTGGTGTATTAATAGTGAAATTCAAAAGAAAAATATGTGAGCAGAAGAAGTGAAAGTTAATAAAAATTGTTCAATGTGGCATAGAGAATCAGCAGAAACATTGACAAATAGAAGTAATGAACTGATGTCATATATTATTACCAATAGAATAAATAGGGAATGAACAATATTGCGTTAATTAAAGTTGAAATTCATAGATTATTGTTAAAATTTAAAAGTTCATTTTAATGTATAATTGAAATAGTTGGTTATATAAATTATAAACTATTAAGTTATTTACAATGATTTATTTCTTATAAAGAACATAAAAAAATGACGAGATGGGCAAGGAAAGGACCAAAAAACCGGCAGAATCCATTACCAGCCACAGATTGGTTGGATTTAAAGAATCCAGATATTCATGGTTATTTTTCATTTAAGTCTTTCACCCTTTCTTCTACATAATTATTCATTACTATTGTTTTTTTAATAGATCAAGAAATGGAAGAGAAAATAAAGTCACAAATGAAGTATGATAAAGAAAAAGGTGAGCAAAGAAGGTTGAAGCGCATTGAATTTAGACAAAGTCAAAAGATGTGTTATAATTGCCGGGAAACTGGACACAAGATGTCTGAATGCACTAAAATTAAAAATGAACTAATAGGATCGACGGGTATTTGTTTCAGATGTGGTTCCTCGGAGCACGCATTGTCCAAGTGTAACGCTCGTGTGTCGGACGGAAAATTACCGTTCGCCAAGTGTTTTATTTGTAATAAAATGGGTCATCTGTCTCGAGACTGTCCTTCAAATTCACACGGTCTCTATCCAAATGGTGGATGCTGCAACCTGTGTGCATCCATTAAACATTTGAGCAGAGATTGCCCAGAGCGTAAAAAGTCCAAACGTAGCGCAGCGAATTGTGATAGCCCAATAACAAGTTTGAAACGTTTAGACAATAAAACGTCCGTTGACGAAGATTTAACTTTCGACAAAGATAAGACTGATTCAATTCCTAAAAAGAAAATTAAAAAAGTTGTTACTTTTTAAATTTTTTTTGTTTTTTTACAAATTGTAAAAATTTTCAAAAATGTCGTGTTTCTTTGTTTTATTACGTCGCTCCTATTTACAAATAAACATGGTACACAAAACTAACTTCTGGCATGCAAAAAGTTTTGCAAAGTGATTCGTGCTTAACTCAACGGTCTAGTTGAAATTTCGCATTGGCTGTGTAAGAATGAATCGCAAAAACAATGCAACACAAAATGGGACAATCGATTGTATTGGTTCTTCTGTGCCTGCCATGTCAAGTCCCCGAAATGAACTTATAAAAATGGTTAAACTGTTGGCAGAGAGCAAAAAAGTTATAAATGATCTAATTAAAGAAAGAGTTCAACTTACCAATGAACTGAAAGAACTGAAATTGAATCTTGATAGAACCAAAAAATATATGACGACTAAGGAAAGAAAGTTGTTTGAAGAAAGAAAAAGCAGAGAGTCTCGACTTTTAGAAGAATTAAAACTTAAAGAAACTAAACTTGCCCGGGAAATAAAATGGCGTGAACGTTTGATGGCTGAACAAATTAAAAAAACCAAAAAAGAGTCCAAATGTACAGAAACAGATGAACATTTACTGAGAAAGTCCTTAACGAAAAAAACAGAAGGGTATTTGTCGGAAAATTTAGAAAAATCTACTCAATATACAGAAATTACTGGAGATGTCCCAAGTTATTTAGATAACAATTCAGCCTGTGATGTCGAAATTGGACCCAGTATAAACGAGGTGTCGACATCCTGCAATTTGTCGGACTTGAAATTGACTCGGCACGCTTCTAATTTTAATATTGCCGTACAAGTAGATTCTCAAACATCATTGCCCGTCGTAAGAAATTGTATATCAGATTATTCAAACATTTTACATAAATCACGATGTGGTAAAGATAAAGAATTGATAACCGCTGACAATTCTTTAAACAACAAAACAAACGTGAAAATAAAACACAGAAGAAGCTACTCGTCTAGACTTCAGAGACCATTTAAAAATCAAGAAATAGCGAAGAATTTAAACAAATTGATTTGTTCGATGAAAAAAATTAAAAGAAAAAAAATGAAGAAAAAAACAGCTGATGAAAGTAACAAAGCAGATTTGAGAATACAGTTACTTGAAACTCACATGAAGGAGTTAGAAATTTTAAAGCTCAAACAGCATCAGCAAAATGAAGAATTCAAACAACAGCATTATCTTTTTCATAAATTAATAAAAAATGTGCACGACGATGAGCTGCAGTGGAAGTGTTTAGAAGAAAAAGTGAACAAATTAAATGCAACCAAATTATCTTCGGAACAAAATATTCCAATCAATGATAAGTTGAATCAAAAATCTGATTTGAACGGTTTTCCAGATATGGACTTTGTTGACGTTCCTTTAAATAGAAACATCGACTTAAGCAATTCCGAAGATCAGAAAAATTATGCAAGTTGGGAAGAAAACCCCAGACCTCATTTAATAAACGACTATGAAGAATTTGACAGACTAAAAGAACTTCACATTAAGGAGTTGAAAAAAATCAGACTGATGTCAAACGGAGCGTTCCAATCACGAGATTTGCGAGTGAGATTTGAGAATGAGGGCAGTGATGATAACAACATAGTGAACAATATTACAGACGGAGACGTTAATGTAAATAATTCACATAACGCACCACTTGATGATGATGAAGATGATGACGTTGAATTAAATTCCGTAGCGATTCATGACGAGGGAGGTAATGAGATAAATCAACTAGGTAAAGAAGTACTTCGTTCTGATGAAAATTTTCTTAATAAAAAGATTCTGCAACGTTATTTAAAAAAAATTCATGAAGAAAATTTTCTAAGGTTGAAAAAAAGACGCAAGAACCAACTTGTGGGTAGAAAAAATAATGAATTAATAGCGAAAATTAATAAACTACTTCAACTTGATAGTTCGAAAAATGCTAATTGTTACAAAAATAATAACGACTTTAACAATAATATAAACTTAACGGAAAATGTTACATCGAGTTATAATTGTAACAATGAATCAAATCAGTTGCAGCAAAATGAAAAATTATGTATGGAAAATAGAAAACCATTTAACAAAGCTTGCGCGGTAGATGCTTGTATGTCGGATATTACGATAAATAAGGTTCCCACAGCTAAAGAGTTTTTATTTGAAGGTTCAAAAAACAAAGAGATCGACGTGGAAAAAAATAACAGCAGTAAATTAAACCATTTAACTGATGGGAAAATATTTTCAAATAGTTTCGGTCATGGGGAAAGTGGCAATCTCATTCAATACGTTCCCCTTCACAAATGGAAGAACATCGGTAGTTGTAAGAAGCGCAGTAATGTTCGTGTCTTCTCTACGAAAAGTTATAAAAATAAAAAAATTGTTTCAAACACTGATGATTCACGCGAAATGTTAAAAACTGAGCAAATAAAAAGCGGAAGACACAACCGCAATAATAGTTCTTTAACGTCTATATCAGCGGCAAGCCTTTCTATCGAGACCGCTGCGTTAACTGGCGATTCGAGTTCGTTAAAAGAAAGTGAGTTGCTACAAAAGGAAGCTATCGAGAATTTGCTCATCGAGAATGTTGGTCGAGTTTTAAAATTTCTGTCTGTAATTCATTGTATAGCGTAATATAATTTTACACAGAACTTAAAATTGAAATTTTCATTCTAACTTTCAGAAAATTCTTTGTTACAAATTTTTTTGGACCTTATTTCATGTAATATTAATAAATTTATTATTTGTTTCTATGTAATTTATTTTTATTTTATTTTATATTTTTTCTGAGATAATATTTTTAAACGGAAATTGAAGCAAAAACAAAGGTTAAGGCACAATTAAACTGCTAACCATTTTTGGCATTAGTCGTTGCAAAATTTTTCAGGTTTTTTCCAAGTGAAATTATTCGATTTTTAAACAGTTGTATCAGATTTTGAGTAGCTAATAGAAGAAAATTGCAAAAAACACCATTAGAGATAAACCAAGCAAGAATGAGCAAGCATTAAATTTATTATTTTTTTCGGTGTCTACAAAAAAAGAGCGACTTCTGTTACGATATTTTTATTTGAAAGGTTTTCTTAAAAACTTATTATTAAATATGTTAATAATATTCTTGTCGCGAATTAAGTTGAAATTTAATTGAACCCAGCAAACTTCTTGATATTTGTTTTGATATTTTTTTAAATTATTATGATTTTAAGAGAGCTAAAATTAAATTGAAGGTTAAAATGGAGCAGAAAACACTGGAAAAGGAAATTGAAGAGCACGAAAATTTGTTGAAATTGGAGAAAGAAAAACTGTTGCGATTCATTGAGATGAGTGAGACGAACAAGCGCAAGATGGCAAAAGAAGTCTGTCAAAAATTAAATGAAATCGAGAAGCAGTATTTTGCGAAAGCGACTACGAGCGAGACGAAAAAACGGCGATCATCGAATGATCAACACGAGAAATTGGATTGTAATTACAACACATGTGTAAACAGTAAAAATGGTAACTCGAATGCTAATAATTGTAACAATACAAAAAATATTCGCAGTTTTAATTCAGAAAATAATAATAACGGCCCAAATAATTTTTGCAATGAAGATGAAGGTTATCAAAATAATTCTTATATGGATAAAAGCAATTGTTATGCCAATTGCTGTTTGTATGATAAGGATTCAGCAGCTGTAGAAGATCAAAAGATGAAGTCCAAGAAGTTTGATACAAATTTCACAGCTGGGGATAACATAATTAAAAATAACAATTACTGTTTCAATGATTCTGTTGGTGGGAGTTGTTTTAAGGATGGACCTAACGATACACTGGAGATCGATAGGAGAAGTAGAAGATTGACCCACCAAGTCGCCGACAGCCTTAACAAGTACATTCACACTGAACTGCCAGACACTAAACTTTTTATTAAAACCTGGTCAACCGTAAGCAACTGCAGCAGTTACACCAATTACAACAACCTTGACCACAACAACAACAACGACAATTACAACAACCTTGACCACAACAACAACAACGACAATTACAACAACCTTGACCACAACAACAACAACGACAATTACAACAACATTGACAACAGTAGCTTCAGCAGCAGTATTAGCAATGATAATTTTTCAGATAGTGATAATTTTTATTTGTCAAATTCAAATAAAAATGACATTAGCAACATAATTAAAAGTCAGAAATCTAAAAAACTTTACAAAAACAAACATTTGATGAAATCTGTGAAATCAAATGAAAAAAGCGGAAGCAATACATATTTGAAATCAGATAATGATTCGCAGTATGAAAGCTCGCTGTCGTCCATTAGCATAAACAAAAAAGTTGACGAGAAGATTGAGAAGAAAAAATCTAAAGTGAAAAAGAATAAATCAGACTTACCATTGAATTGGAAGAAAGTAATAAATAAGTTGATGAACCTGGAATTAAATGAAAATAAACCACATTCAGCTGACGGAAATATAAAGAGTCACAGCATAAATTTGAATAAGATTGGACAGGAGAAAATATTTGAACAAAATGCAACAAGGAAACAGGATTGCTCAAATGAGAACATCGTGCGACAGGATAGACAAACTTTATTATCAAAAAACAACTTGGCAGCAGAACATTCAGCAACTTATCAATACCCCAACCTTAACTTTCAATCATATCATCAAACTTGTCAGAAACTAGCTGGAAAAATTTCAAACGAACCGAAACGTCCGATAGCCAACAAATTTGCAACCCCCACCATCACCACCACCAACAACAACAATAACAAGCCACAACAGAATACATCGAAACAAGAAGAAAGATACAAAGATGGCCAATGTTACACGTCGAACGCAACAGCTCTGAAAGGAACTGAGGTGAAAAATGAGCAATACGATTGGTCGAAAGTTGCGCCCGATCTCGATGAAGCGGCGCGGATGGTCATCGGCAACATCTCCAACGTCAAGCCGGCCAAAAAGAAGAATGCAAGCTTCTCTCTGCTAGAAAGAATTTAATTAGTTCCGTTTACTAGATCGAATTATTTTATCGATTGAAGTTTGGCGTTGATTTTTTTTTCATAATATTTTCAGTTTTTGTTGGTTCTTGTGTTTGAATGGAATTTTGTTTTGTCATTTGCTATGCTACTTAAATGTTGTTCATTTTTCATTAAAGGTTGGGAAATAAAAATTGATATATATCTATAGTTTTTGAAAAATTAGGTTATACTAAATAAATAAATAATAAAAATAAGGATGATGATAGTATTAATAATAATATTATTTAATTATAATATATATTCTTTATATAATTACAATTATTATTAATATTAATAATGATAACATAATAATAATATTAAAAAACAATAATAAATATTAATTATCATTAATATGACTATTTCGAACATGTCTAAAGCGTAGAAGTTTGCTATTAATAAGTTTTGATTAAATTTTGTTATTTGATGATCCAAAGTCAATTAGTAGAGGTGAGTAGCAAATTATTCAGTAAAATAAATTTTTCATGGTAATTTTGAAAAGAGCTGTTGATAACTACATATACTTTTAAATTTAAAAATTAATTTGGATTATGGCTGGCTCGCGACTCGTGACTCCGGGTTCCCATCCCGAAATAATTTTTCACCTTTTGCATCATAATCAAACTGCTAGATGATAAATACTATAAAAAACATTTAAAATCGATCAATGTAATCATTTTTTTGAGTAAAATTACTTCATATTTATTTTTGGGATAATGTTAAACGGATGTATGAATGTAAATTTAATTTATAACTTTCAGTTTTATACATAAGTAAAAAAGTTTTATACATACTTATGTATAAAACTTTCAGTTTTATACATAAGTAATGAAATAAATTTGAAGCAGTACATTAAAAAATTAGATCAAACCATAAACGCATGAAATCATAAAGTGGGCTAATTTAATGCATTCTTTTTATTTTATTTTCCAGTGTTTTGTGAAAAAAGTTTTATAAATGTTTAAAGTTTATCAATTTTCAGAAATAAAATTAGCATAATTTAGTGAAATGTGTGTTTGCATAAACATAATTTCGCATTGACATGCACTGGCAGAACAAGGACAAAATTAGTAATGTGAGCCAGTGTTTTCTCGTGAAACTGACTGCTGGAAGATGGTCTCAACATTTTCTGACTTCTATTTCATTGACTAGGTTATCCGGGTAAATTGTTTTTTATACACCAAATAATAAAAAATACTCGGTTTCTTAGCAGAAATAAAAATATAACCGCGAAAAATGAAATAAAAAATTAATGTTTGTCTTTGGTGAAGAATGAATTCAGAGGCGATATATTTAAAAAATTCGAACAGGTTGTCATAAAAATAATTGAAACATCACTTCTGTAGTGGAACCGCACTAGGATGTTAACGATTAGTTAATTTCTTTAAAAAAAATATATATATATATGTATATATACATACATATACTCTGTTTTACATATCTCAACAAAATTTTATTGGTAAATGAACTGAACGATTCGTATGCTATTGGTTAGAAGTTTTTAAAGTAGAATTTGATTGGTCCGTAGATAGTTGTTCGTTTCAGATATAGTTTACATGAAGCGAGTTTTGAATGGTGTGTCTTGAAAATATTATTAAAAAATTCATTTTTTTTTAATTTATAAAAATTGGTTGCTGTTTTGAATAATCGAAATGGACGAAAACCATAACGATGTTTCAAACTTATGTTTATTAGATTACTATGCATTCCACTTGAGCCGATTGTGTTCAAACGGATTCACGTATAAATTTTGGAATTTTTCAAACTTTCCAGGAGTATCCCAAAACAGCAAACTCCAGAACTCATCCCAACTCCTCGCCATTCCTGAAACATTTAACGGCAACATTATTTCAAATTCCGTTCATGCACATTTCAACAAATATAAGAAAAATGTTTGCTTTGAAATCAAAAGAGACAGACACTTGTATAAAGCTTCTAAATCAACATCAGCTGAACCTGATGAAAGTAATTGCAGAAATCAAATCATGTCATGCAACTCATCGGCACCGTCCAACACGAAACCATCTTTCACAATTGAAAACATCCTGGGTAAAGCAAATGCAGAAAACTCTACCGTTTTTGACGCATTTAAACATAAATTTGATAACTCGACAATTTTAATACAAGATGTTTCTGTCAAAGACAATCAACTGGTGACGGCAGAAAGGTCAAACCAAAATACAATTAAACTCCAAACAAATTTACCTTCGACCACTAGCTCGCCAAATTTTTTTGAACTCTCAAACTCGAACATTCAATCTAAAACATCAGATACAATGAGCAAATCAAAAACAACATGGAAATCCATGTTAACAAATCCATTTGAAACAACAACCCTCGAAACGTCATCCATGTCGCTTTTAAATAGTACAAAACAGACAGCAAATGTCACAACCACAACAGCACCAACGACACATGAAATAAACAACACCACCAATGACATGCCCAACAATCCCAGCAACGAGACGGATGTTACGTCATCAACGATGGACAGTCCTCTTGTTGCTTTATACTCAATGACCAATCAGACATTGCCCGGTCAGATATTGTTTGGTCAGTTCATTCAAACTTCACATTTCCTTTTAGATCATAATTTTGTTAATTTCACTATCAAAATCTTAATGAACTTATGCTAGAAGTCAAACGAACTAATGAAAATGTATGGCATGAACATGAACAATGTACATGTACAATTATGTTTTCATCATGAAAATGGTCTTTAAGGATGTACACGCTTTTGCGTGAAGTAGTTTATATGCGATCTTTGATATTTAGATGCGAAGAATGTGCAATGTGCATATGAAGTACGACATCGTCACATACATGTTCAAGAATGTCTGTTTGTCAATTTATCATTATCTTCGAGCTTTGAGGCTTGGCTCAAATTTAAAATATACTAAATTCGATGTATATTAATACATTCAATATAAAATACGACTTTTTTAAGCTTTTATTTAGAAAGAAATTAACTTAATTAACGTTTTGAAATGCAGACTTTATTAAATATTCACATTTGATCACGATATGCGTGAAACATTTATTTCAAATTAAATGAGGTCTATTTGAAGATATTATAGCTGAATAATCTTATTATTTTCTTGTACATCTACACATTATTTTCTTATAGGTAAATTTACATATTATTCTTTCATACATTTATTCTCTGGTCTTCCTTTCTTGCAATAAATAAAGGGGTAGCCTTGGAAAACAATTTTTTGGCTTTTTTTATTACTTATAATAATTTTCCAAATTAATAATTTTTTGTCCGCATATTTTTTTATTATGTTCCATTTATTTTGTTCCTTATTTCACGTTATTTTATTGTTTATATGTCGCACTTTACTTTCTTGCACGTGGTAACATTTTCTGCGTTTGACAGATAATGAATTTTGAAGAATGAGAAGTAAAATTAAAACCAACACCGGGCACATCTGAAGTAACATATCGATAAGCATTCAAGTCATCAACAAATCTTGCCATCCATAAAATAATTTTTGATCGTCAGTTATGTTTATATTTTTATTTAAAAAAATTAACTATTCTTGTACAGGAAGATTAATGTTAATGATAGAATTTATGATACTGGTGATGATAAAAGCAAGATAATGAAGTTCAAATGTCTGAGAACGAAGACGACGATGATGATTGAAGATGATGACAGGAACGATAATAATGATGATCATCGTTGTGATGTATTGTCTTAACAATGAACTGTGATGATAGGAGGTCAGACAGGCAGATAGATAGACAGACGTGATCGGAACATACGTTCATGTTTCAACATACATACTTACACACACACACACACACACAAACACACACACACACACACACACACACATGAGGATGGATAGATACAGGCGCAATACTACAAAAACACACGTTTCAGTGCTTGTTGCTTGTTTTTGATTTAGTGGGTGTACCTTCCTTGCTCACGAGATTTTGATTGATGCCTATGCATCTTTTATAATTGGGCTGAAATATTTCCAAAATATGTTGACAAACGTAACTTACTATGAAAGCAATCACTTATTAGATACACTAATAATTAAACACTCAAATATAAAGAACCAACAACCATTTCAATATAAATAAAAGTAATTAGAATTATATAAAAGATGGCCCAATTGAAATTAAAGGCGAAAAGAGTGTGCACATGCAAAGATGCAGGAAGATGTAAGTGAATGTGCAACAAATTAAACGCCCGATCCAAGAACAGCTTTAATCATTGATCATCAAATATCCCATCAAAACCGTGTATCCTGTCTCATCATCTTTTCGTAAAGCATCGAAGGCTGCGTAACATAACGCATGTTACTACCAATTGCGCACGAACAAGTCACAATGTACAAGATGGGGGCGGTCCAATTGGTTGAAAGATGTTTAATTGTTTGCACGTGTGATGGATGTGCATGTAATAAAATAAACGAGCACTACCCATGTACTCATGTGTGTGTGATGTGTGTGTGATGTGTGTATGATGTGTGTGTGTGTGATGTGTGTATGATGTGTGTATGATGTGTGTGTGTGTGTGTGTGTGTGTGTGTGTGTGGTGTGTGTGGTGTGTTTGGGGCGTATCTGTGCGTCTGTATGTGCGCACTCATTATTTTTGTGCACGTGTTGCACAGTGCACTCCGGTGTCAAAACGTAAACACGATAATTGTAGTTAAAATGGCGTTGGTGATTGGCTGGTGATTGGGCTGATAAGAACTTCCATCCGAGCTTTTGGAAGCAATATAATATTTGGATGAGTTACGTTATGATGTGTGATGATGTTGGCGCCATGCAGAGGTGGTTCATCGTTTGCTTGGTTTTAATGATACTGTTGACAACGAATGGACTTCGAGATGGTGTAATGGTTGGATGCCTGATCCTGCTGTTGCAGCACCTGGCTGGAAAGAAATCTCTGCCCATCACATAAAATGTATGTGAAGCGAGGAACCACTCGTGAATTTTGACCAAATTAACATATGCAAAGTTCGATTAGAAAGCCCAAACATTTCATTTATTGATAAAATTTTTTCATATTTTCGTTTTAACTTTATTTTTAATAAAACATTTTTCTGTGTAACGAAAACTCATGTCTCAAGTTCTTAAATTGAAACATTTTACCATATTTTAAATATTTTCATAATTCGCACTATCTATTGAAAAATGTTGTTTTGCAAAAAGAAAAGTTACGACGTTTTGATATTTGCGAGTTATTGCATTGCTTACATCTTCAAACAGGTCGATCGTTTCGCAGAACTCCACGAACAAATTTAACGAAGCAACCGGCTAATGTTGAACGACGATGCCAAAAACCAAGAACTGCATTTACGAACTACCAATTGGAAGAACTTGAAAAAAGATTTTCGCTAAAAAAGTATGTCAATCAAAACGACAGAGACCACATTGCAATGCACCTCGGACTGACTAGCTCTCAAGTGAGTTAAATAAGATAGAAAACTACATCATTTATAAAGTAGATAAATACCAACTTTAAGACATTACGTACACCGTCTGTGAACCTTCCTTAAAAAACCAAAATGCGAATTTAAAATTTTTCTCTAAATGTTAAAATATATTTTAACAAACCTAGAAAAATTAAAATTGATTATTTCGTATGACGAATTGTTTACAACAAATTTTCACTTAAAGATAATGAATGCACAACTTCAAATTCTTCAGCAGTTTTAACATCTAACGAACAACTGACATGTGGAAGACTGCGCTTATTGATCTCGCATTTTTTATTTTATAAGTTAGATTTCCTTTTGCTACCTCGAGCCCAGTCAGCATGCAAATATCTAAATAGAGCAGTTCCAGGTGCGGCTGGCACTTTTGCCATCTCACCGATCGTAACATTAATTAAATATACAGTTCAGACTATAAACAAACAAACACATTATCTTACCACGCAGGTGATCACGTGGTTTCAAAACCGGAGGGCCAAGATGAAGAGGGACATTGACGAATGGAAAGCAGACGTAGCCGCTTCTCAAAGATCATCATCATCAGCGTCATCGAAATTGTCATCACCATTGCAAACACTACTATTTAAATAAGCAGGAAAATTGGGAATTCCTTGAGTTGAACGTTTCGTACGCTCTTAAATAGCAAAAGATTATTTTCATTTTCATACCTTTCTAATACCTCCTCTTTACATCCATTCATCTAGTTTTTCATATATCTCTATGTAATATTTTTCTTTTACATTCATCGATTAAATAATATTTTTCTACAACTATCAAACATTTTCTCTTACTTCTACTCATCCAATATTTTTGTATACATTTATCGAATATTCTCCTTTTGCACCTATCTATCAAACACTTCCCATTCACACCAATCTTACAGATATTTTCCGTGCATACATCCTGTATTTATATTCTGTACACCTAATCATCCAATGTTTCTTTCATATCAATCTATCCAATATTTTCCTTTAAACTATTCATCAATTCAAATACTTTTACAATCTATCCTTAGTATGTTGAATAATGCAATACATCCATATTTTAATTGTCACAAAATTGGTTGGCCTACATTTGACAAATTTTAATTTCATTTCTTATTTCAAAATGTTCATGTTTTATTCTTTCAACCTTTTGGTTGCACAAACAAACAAACATTGAAAATTCAACTGGTACCCTACACACCCCAGACCGCTATTAATATTTCATTGTCAATTGTGAGCATTTAAAATCTTCTGATTCTTGAACAACTTCAATTTTGCCATTAGAACGCAGAAAATACAGAACACGATTATTTATTATAAAATTCATCAAAAACATTAACATCAAATAAATACGAACTTATTTATTAAAACAACCAAAAAATTTAAAGTTTTTATTAAAATTTATCAGATTTGTCCAATCTGTCGATGTATTCCTTTTGAAAAAGATCAAAATCCCTGTCAGTGAACAAACTTTTTTCAGCTTTCCGTTTTCTTGTGTCTTGCATTATATTCGGATTTGATCGTTTTTTCGAGTTTTCATGTTGCAGTATCTGAATGTGTTTGAAACATGTAAGTCATATCATTTCAGCGATTCCGACAGAAGTTGTTAGACAAGGTGCAACACAAAAAACAGCATGTTTGGCGGCAGGCTAAGTTGACTTGCTGAATATACATTGCGGAATGTATATATATATATATATATATATATATATATATATATATATATATATGTGTGTGTGTGTGTGTGTGTGTGTGTGAACCAGCTTCGTTGCTCCATCTAGCTGTGTGCGCTTCAAATTACTGTACAACTCTTGCACAGATTCATTCAGAGTAAAAATAGGATATGTAAATAAGGCAAGAAATTTATGAAAATACAAAAGAATAAGAACACCACTTGAACAACAAGATGAAACACAGAGAATAAACATTGTTGCGAGTGATAAATTACCGACAGCAAACATCTTCCAGTAAATAAAATTAGTAAAAAAGACAACAAAACTGTAAAAATGCTATAAGAAGCTATGAAAATGTAACAAACTTTTTCAAGAGATTTTGTATTTAGTTTGGGCACAACCGCCAACTTTTTTATAGCTGTTAAATTTTCTTCAGTTCTGTCTTCTTTTTTATATTTGAACTTTTCACCTAAGTGATTTATTCAAGGTAAATAAATAATAGTTAGTCAATTAATCAGCCAAAGAATTTAAATTGTGGTTTCTAGCTCAATTTTTCAATATTATATATCTGTGCATACAGTTTTGGCGTATGTATAAAATACAACCAATATTTGATAAAAGATCACATTGAAAATGTTAAAGAATTAAAATAATAATAAGATAAAAATGAATAGAAGAGTAGTTAAAAACTTTGTTTTCTATATAAATAAATTAAAAATATGGAACGAAATATTGAATAACTGAAACTGATCGAAGCAGAAAATGCTTTGATATTGATTAATAATACATACATACATATATATATGTTGGTAATAGACCATAATTTTTACAATATTCTATAAATTCTACCGAATGTTTGACGTTAATATGTTTGTAGTTCGTTTTTTCGATTTTTCTCACTAAAGTTTTTTGGTGAACGTTTAGTTTATTAAAATTCAAAATAAACTTATTTT